CATTACTGTACTACTATTATATTTACTATAATAATCAATAATGTTCAATAAAATCATAGCCGGCTCAGTTGCCTATGTTATGCTGTCATTCATTGTCAGCGTTTACGCTCAAGGTATGTACACTTGTTATTAATTGTAAATGGTATATATTTGCATTTATTAATAGGCACGTGCCCACCTCCGTGTAATTGTAATTGTGTATGCGGCGCCACTACAGATTGCTCCCAGTGCTCAGGACCATCAAGTAAGTTGCAAATTGAGCTTGACTAATTTTCATTATATTAGCTAGAGGGTTTGTCATATAAAAGTAAAAATTAAGTAATTTAGTTCTGAAAACTAATGAGTTATAGTATAACTGTTATACTTTAAATACTATTATATACAATGTATTAAATTTAATTTTGTATACATATCTAATGTTATTCCCATACAAATACAACAACAGCCTGTCCATCGGGATGGAGCACGGCACCTGACAACACGTGCGTGATCAATGGCCCCAACACGGGCATGACCTACCAGGCTGCCCTAGAGTATTGCAAAAACACGTACGGCGCTCACCTGATCACCAGCAAAAATAGCATGAAAAATACCTTTTTGGCCATGCTAATACCAGCGGGCAGTACCGCGTGGCTATGGGCCACCAGGGTCGATGTTAGCGACAACGTGTCCACCAGTTTCATATGGTCCGACGGCGATGACATGACCATGTACAATAACTTTGCCAGTACCGATCCCAATAATGGTTCTGGTGGTAATTATAATCAGATTTGCTTGTTCTCGTACGCTAATCAGTGGTACGATGCCGTTTGCAATGTAACTTCGTGGGGCAGCAGTAATGTGGTCGCGGTTTGTGAGCGCGCATGCTGCTTTTAGCAAACTGTACTGGACCCCCGAAATTGATTTTCAAAATTCTGAAATGCTTTTACTTTTTGTCTAATAAAATTTTTGGTTGCATAATTCTTTATTAAAGAGTTATTAAAATAATTGATAGATTCTCACTGAATTATATAAAATTAATTAAAGTTGCTAGTAGAAGTTATGTATTACCGTAAGAACAGTAATTTGAGTTAACTTTTAAGTTGGTATGTAATAATTGTTTCTTTTGTTCCAGATCAGAAGTGTTATTATTGTTGATTAGTCTACTGTTAAGTCTAGCAATTATAAGTTAATAAAATGATACCTTTTATAAGCCTTGTGTTAATGTAAAACTATTATTAACCAATTTGTTTTATAATACTGTATTATAGAAATGTGTTATTTTCGTATACTGTAAAAATTTTAACAAACAACATATGCTATTGACCCTGTTTATTTAAGTATATAAACTACTGTTTAACATTATAAGGTTAAACCACATCTTTATGATATTATACCACTCAATAATAAAATAATTTCAATTTGCATGAAAATTAATTATAAAGTTAATAATTAATAACATAATATAGTTACATAATTATTGTTGATTTTTAAATATTTGACATTAACATAGGATTCATATATCACTTTTTATTTCGCATATTTATTATTTTAATACATATAGAATGTATACACAAAAAATCATAGATTTGTCTAGGTTATACACAATTTGCACTGCCTAAAAAATTTACGAGCAGTTTGGTTTTAATATATTCATATTAAAAATACAACATTTATTGCACGCATTTTCCAATAAAAGGTTCAGTGAATTCATTTTGAAGTCAGTTTATTTTGTTCAAGTTAATTTTATAATTCATTTTAAAAATGTTTACACTATATATGAATATAAAAACAATTCTTTGTATATAATAAAAGTCAAATTGTACAATTTTTCCAAAAATATTTAATTTACCGAGTTCCTTCTACTACTACTTCTACTACCAGCGTTTGATGGACAAGTACCTGACATACCGGGCCCATTGCTAAACTCGCTGGCCATGGACTGGCGCTGGGACACCGTTCCCGACTGTATCCCATAGAGCGTCGACAGTATGAGCTCGAAGTTGACGTCTAGCTTGCGGTCCAACTCCCGGTGCATGCGCTCTAACCTCCCGATCCTGTCTACCAGTCCGGTGCGGGACTCCAGCATTTTGGCGCCGTTCGTATGCACTTTACCCACGATTAGGCTCAGGTCCGACTGGATCTCCTTAATCCGGTATAGGATACTGGAGTGGCCGGTCTGGTACTGGGCCAACACGTCCCGGATGTCCGTTTGCTGCCGGTGCGATTCGAAGTCCCGTTTGGCCAACATGAACTTGGTCATCCTAATGAATCGTATGGCGTTCCGCTCGTCATTGGATATCATATCGCAGTGCCGTTTATGTATAGTCCACGTGGCGATGGACAGGGATGTAGGGTTGGCCGCGTAGTACCTACCGGTGTTGTATAAGTATGATAAGTTTAGTGTTTATAAATTATAAATGAATATTTTTATAATATTTGCTAGCTAATAATTATAGTTGTAATAGGATTAGCTTATTTATAATGCAAATTATTTCTAAATTAAGAATTACTTACGTTCAGTAATATAATTGTATACTAAACTAGCATTAAGAATATTCTGAGTATTTTGTGATCATATTTTTAAAAATAATTTATATGAATATTTTTATTATCATATTACCATTTGTAAAATAAACTTGTTATTAAAAAAACTGTCATATAAAATTAATGTTATAAGTTTTAATGTTAACATAACATTAACTTAATGTCTGACTTGGAAATCAAATTCATGATTATATATAGGATATGAATTTAAATATTGTTCATTGCTTTCGAGTAAATTATAAAACTTAATAAAGTTTAATATAAGTAGCATGCATTTTATATTGAATGATAAGTACTTATTCAAATATAAAAATAGTCATAAACTTAGTTATGTAAACTCATTTTATTCTCAATCTAGCCAAAAACTAGCCTATATTCATTATAACCTATGGGCTATAGGTTACTTTTGGCCAGATTGCGAATAAAATGAGTTTACAATGTATACTACTTATATTAAACTTTATTAAGTGTTATACTTTACTCGAAAGCAATGAAAAATATTTAAATTCGTATCCTATATATTATATAATCCTGAATTTGCTTACCAAGACCAGATGTTAATACTTCTATTTTTTAAATTTTTTAATTAGGGGACTGGTAGGGCATACCTCCAACACGTCTGTATGAGCACAGCTGCCGGCAATTTCTTTCTCATCCGGTTCTCAACCCTTTGCTCTTCGCTAACACTAATGGCGAGTCCGGTGCCGATAATACCGGCCGGTAAGGCAAATATGGACACACCTAATATGGTGAATATACACGTGATCAGCTTGCCCACCCAGGTCACCTACATTTGCGTAAATAGTAATTATTCTTAGTAATTCATTATTAGTTAATTCATAAATCATTGCTTTTGACTTCTGAGAAAATAGTTATATAAATCATCATAAATATTATCTCATCAAGGATAATTATAGTGTCATGTAATACAACTTGTTACATCTAAATGATAAATTCCTTATTTATAATTTACTCCTACTGTATTTAATTGTGTGATAACTACCTGATTTTCCCCTCAGATATCATTTATGACAAACTCTCGTAGATATAAATAATAATAATCATACGCACCGGTACTCGGTCTCCATAGCCTATCGTAAAGATCGTAATTACCTGTAATTTATAAATACAAAGGTTAATAATTTTTATTTCAAATTCACATGTCACATTTATTAATACTGTATAATGTAAATGTACAGTATATTATGTGTACATTAATAACCGATAAATCATAAGTGGTAAAATGTTGGGAGTCTATTAAATCTAATCAGTATAAATGGTGATAAATGGCAAATTGGTTATAAATGACTACACTTTAACAATAGAGGGGGAAATGGATGTTACGATACGTACGGCCCACCAGAAGGAGTCGGCAATATTGTCGAAGTAGTCGTTGTAATCGGTTTCGACCAAATATATGAGGAAAGCCATAAAACACAGGACAATAAAACCGATATAAGTGGTGATAATGAGTTGTTCCCTTTGGGCCGATATAACCGACATAAGTATACTCGCGGGTCGGAAACGGCGCTCGGATTTAATCATTTGTATGACTTGAAAGAACCGGTGGAACCCCCGCAGTGCGAACCCCGCGAACACCAGGTGCCCATCGGCCGAGCCTACCTATTGGCATGATTTAAAGGAGTTAAATGTTCTAGTTATTTAATTGTGTTAAAGCTACTTGTTAATGCAATGCTATGCGTAATAATAGTTTAAAGAGTTATACAAAAAAGTATTGAATTATACTAGTTAGCCCTACACAATTTATAACTAATTTAAAAATTAAAAATATTTATATTACTTACAAAATTCACATTTACAGGTAGCTAGTTAATTAAATATATCAGAAATCAATATTTAGAATAATATAGTATTTTTGAAAATAATTAAAAATAAAAAAAAACTATTTATAGCTATAGTTTACCCGCAAAAGTACTATCGACACAATGATAAGCACAATATCGCCAATCCGTAAGGGATTCCAGATGTACCGGAATTTACCCTGCCAGCTCTGGTATTGACATTTGCACGATGAGGCCCACATGCGTATGCAAAATTCAAGGCCAAACCAAACGACCATGACAGTTTCGATGTTCACCATTAGGTCCCAGGATATTGCCTCGAAGTCTTTGTCGGTGCTGAACACCGTTAGTATTAGGCAAAAGAATACTAATAGGAATACGAGGCCGTGGTATAGGAATGCCCACCAACCACGTGGTCGGTGTAGTAGGTTATATACCTAGAATTAGAGTTGCCAGGTAATTTAAGTAAATTCATGATTTTGTTAACTTTGAAAATCAATTTATATTTATTAAGAGTAGTTTCTGATTATTATACAGTATGTAATAGTGACACTTGGGCGCCCTATGAAGGGTTAAATTATTCATAGTAAAGTAGATCTAAATATTAAAACGTAATATTATAAAAGTTAATATTAGAAACTTAAGATACGTTGAATATAATTAATATAATATTACTTGACTAACCTACTAATTTAAATAATAAACAAACATGTTTGTACACATGATGTATAAAAATTTTAAAATAAATATAATATACTGAATAGTAATAAGTGTAATCTGGTCAGCCTACCTGTAACCGCGTTTTATAATACGCAGTTTTTTGCCTTAGTTCGTACTGCTCGGGTAGGGCTGTGCCCAGATAACTAGTGCCCGACTGGGAGTACTTGCGCTCCCGTTCCTGGCGCCGGGCGTCCACCACTTTCAGCAGTTGCATCAGCCGTCCCACCGATCCTATGCTAGCCTTCGACATGACAGTGGCGTCGTTGCCCTGGCAGTCATCCCCGGCCCCATTCAGGTAACGCGTGAACTCCCGGGTGATAATAATTTGCGGGATGGATATGGAGTCCCGGCGTCCGGTGGTACTCGTGATCGTGTCGTTACATACGGTGTTACTGATGGTGTTGTTGTAGTAATCGTTGTAATGGCTGTTAATGTTATTATGTTTGCCATTATTATTATTATATTTATTATAGTTTTCCATTTGTTTTTAAAAAAGTTATTATTAGTAATTTATTATATAATTATATATTGTTCATGATTATTTATTTATAACTGGGTGTTCACAGTGTTTACAGAATAAACAGAATTTAATTTAAAAATTTAATTATTTTCATAGTTATAGAAATTATTTTTAGTATGAATAATGATATGTTTTTGTTATAAAAGTTTTTAATAGTTTTACTATTGGCATTTAGTTTTAATAATAGGATTTTAATGATTGTCTTATAAAGTCTTTTAAATTGCTTATAAATCGACTGATAATCAGGGTAATAAATAAAAATTATTATCAGTTATTATGCTTAGGTGTAGCCATACTGACAATGAATATTTTGTACAGATTAATATATTATTAGTTTCATTTGTGTTAAAATATTTAATTAATTATATAGTATTGTTAAAAAATAGTTTTAAAATTAATTATTAAACAATATTTTCTATCAATATCCTTAATGTATAACTTGAATTAGCATTGCTTACTTTGTAACATATATGGATATAATAAATAAATATTTAATTGTCAGTAGCAAATAAATTACAACTTTATGTACAGTATTATAGTATATATATCATTGTTTATCATATTATTTAAGACTTTATGTACAGTATATTTCATTTGTAAATAATAATTATTCAATATCTACTCAAATATTCAATATTAGATTATACTAATAATTATTAATTTACTCACTTACTAATTATAATTAAAATATATTGTAGATTATTTTTTGACAATTCACAAATACAAGTAAATAAAATAAAAGTTAATAAAAATAAATATAAGTTTTGTTACAATAACAAAAGAAGTTTTTGAAAAATAACATTTCACATAAAATGATAACAATAACAATATATATATTATATATTAATATATAATGAGTATATAATATAACAATATATTGTACTAAGTTATTTGTAAAGTTACGTATTTAATTTAAACAATTTACTAGTCTATTTTTAAAATTTAATCTAAAATTTATTGTTAACAAGAGTTACATAGACATTGTTACAAAACTGATATTGATATAAATTATATTGTGAATAGCATTTCTGTGTGTAATCTTCAATATATGCAATTTAAAAGACTTTATAAGACAATCATTAAAATCCTATTATTAAAACGTAATATTATAAAAGTTAATATTAGAAACTTAAGATACGTTGAATATAATTAATATAATATTACTTGACTAACCTACTAATTTAAATAAT